ATTGGAAGCCTACTAAGTTTTGGAGCAAATTGTACTGCTGAAAAATAAAACATAAACCAGGCTTACCAAAGGCTATGACAGTTTGTCATTCCCCCCTCCCACCTTGGAACAATCCTGGGTCCCCAAAGCCGTACCCCCAATGCCCACTTCAGTTGTGACCACGGCGGACAAGGGATTGCCTCCCGGAGAAGAGACCAGGTCAATTCAAGGAAACTAACACTAGAGGGGACTTTTCACAATTACTGCCCAGCAAACGTTGTTAACTGCCATGGACCATTGACTGGTTCCATTCTTCCGTTTTCTGAGAGTTTTCATTGTGACTACCCCGTTCCTACTCTACAATTGTGCATTGGCTGTCTTCGGGGATAGATAACCCCCTTTCCCTTTATAGGTCCCTGCACTGGAGGGAGTCCTATCAGGACGTGACAGAGGGAACTGAGAGTCAACCAGAGCTCCTGGCCTTTGAGCTGGGTGAGTAATTGAATGGAATTTTAAGATGCACCCTCTTGAAGGGTGTGTTCAGCGTGTGGGAAGAAAGTTGCACTTGGACACTTGAGCAGGTAGCCAGAAGCTGCAGATATGCCTTCTTCCTTTAGTAATAGAAACCCTCATAATTCATTAGGTGGTAGAGCAATCCACCCAGCCACAAGTCCCAAGTTATATCAGAAGGGATGCGAGCAGGAGTGTTGTGTGCAAGTTTTGTGTCACATCATTAAAAAGGAAGATGGCTGCTTCCACTCTCCCCTCCCTGTAGCTGGAACACAGAAGCAGTGCTGGTGAGCCCGCTATGAACTTGGAGTGAAAGCAGCCCCCTAGGGGATGATGCAGTAATAAGGCAGAAGGAGGCAGCATCCTTGGATTAGACCGGAGCTGCTCTGCTCACCTTTCCTGGACCACAGCCTAACTCAGAGCTGCCATGTGGAAGAGAAACGCATTTTTATATGTTTCAAACTCTTGTTCTTTCTGGGTTCATTGTTATGAAGCTTAGTCTGTATTCTAATACAGTATCTATCGTTTGACAATATTTACATTGCCCAGCATTGGTGAGCTGGAGTAAGATTTTAATACTAACTTCCCAATTTATGAAAAATGACACATTTTAGAGTAGTTTTAGACTTGGTGAGAAATTGTGAAGGCAACACAGAGTTTCCCATGTCTCACATAGAATTTCACCTACTATTAGCATCCTACATTAGTGTAGTACATTTGTTACAACTAGTGAATCATTTATAAACTAAAGCCTTGGACGTGAGGGCAGTCTGGCTGTGACATCTGTCACCCTAATGGTCGCCAGGGTTGATTTGGCTGATCTGGCTGGCTAGGCAGGTGACCTCTTCCTCCCTC